CCCCAAAACCCCAAAACCCCAAAACCCCATAAGGCAATAATCGTGAAATGCGAACAATCTGATTAATAATAGAAGAAAAAATTAAAATAGAAAACTTTATTTTATATTACTTGTAAACAATAAATATGGAAATAGACATTGATGTGTACTTCTGGATGGTAGATAGAGGTCTGTATGATGATGACCAAAGAAACAAAGTAGACATGGAAAGAAACAAAGTTAAGCTTCACAGAGAGCACTAGCAAAAATTTGAGAATGCTTTCTATATTGGAAAAATCATGCTTCTTTTAAAAAAATCAATTGTAAGTATTCGGCATAAAAGCAAGACGCAAAATAAGGAATAATTATATTAAGATAACTTTCTTACAAACCAATATAGATGAAAATTTCAAAGAAGCCATTTACACTTGATCCAGGTATTTCCAATCTCAAAGATAATATTACCAGTAGCACAAAACAAATGAACTGGAATGTGGTTGCAAAGGAACTAAAGGTAATAATATTATTACACTAGAAATCATTCTTAAATCCATATTTCTAGAAATTCGGGATTAGAGTTGATGCGGACAAGAAAGCTAAGATTATTGAAGGCAGATGGTAGTCAATTAATGAAATACTTGGAAAATTGTTTGACATAGATAATGGGGGCATTCAATCTGGACGGTTTCAAGATGGGAATATTTCTGAGATTTTTAATCTTAATGACAGAGAAAACTCCATAAATGGCGCACTAAATGTCACAAATGTTCATAATGACTCAACTAATGTCTCCATTGATGCTAACAATACATCAATTCTGCTTAATAACCCCAAAAAAGGCAATTCAGGACAACTAGAGCCTATTCCTAAAAAATTGGGATCAGTTTAATAGTCAATCTAAGATGGAACATCACTCTAAGCATCTCCTTCAAAAATATAACTGTCATCATAGAATTCTGTTAATAAGAAAATGCTAGCGATTTCTAATAGCGTGACTTCTCTCAATGATATCAACGAATCAAAGGACATTGCATTTTCAGAGACCACTTTAGAGTTCATTTTACTTTCACTGTCAAGAAGTCTCTAAATAAAACCAAAATAAGCAGCAGGTTTACTATCTAATAACCACAAATTTCTAGTTCACATAGCAGTGAAAGGCATGAAAGGAAACGATTACACTAAGATTTAGTAATGGTATCTAGATATATACTAAAATACCTAATTGCTGATTTAGTTGATTGATAATGAGAAAGATTAAAACGCCATGAAACTTACTCTAAATATTTTGAAGTGCGGGCTGTTTTCCCAAAATATTGATTTAGCTGTGAATTGCTCTAGATTATTGTCAAAGATTGGTTAAGAAATAAACTAAATAGGAGGGTAGCTATAAGGTCTAGCCTGGGATTGGCTAGTAAACTAGTCTGCTCCTGGACCATCAAATCTACCTAATGATTTAAGCAATGTTTAAGTTCCAGATTTTTCTCAAAATATAGATATCAATAATCCTGTCAAGGGCTAAGATTAGCCTTTGAATGAATCTGGACTATCTTCATTAATCTTTACTTACAAGAGATTTTCGCTAGATGGTGGATTAATAGAGCATATTACTCCTGTATTAATTCATTTTAGCAGAAATAATCACATGGAATTGTTTTCCTTCCACCTTAAAAATCAATTTTCAAATGATAAAGGCTAATTCTTATCATTTGTCCACGAATTGATGGTATCACATTCAAAAACTTCACTTTTCCGAGATGCAATTATGAATACCGGCATATTTGATGATTGGATAAACATGACTCTAAGGATGGCTGATTTCGATGGGATTAATACTGTTAATGATAGAATAGCTGCAGCTACCTTCCTAGCAGATGTATGGGATTTAAAATCTGATTAATTTGAGGAAGGTTTAAATGGAGGATCAGATACAGCTCAGGCGATACTAAGTGTTTTGAAAAAAGGTTGCAGAGATAGATCAAAGATGCTCAGAGTTGTTTGCTTTGAACTAATGTTTAACTTGCTGCATGTATTTGCTTCTGGAAGAAATTAATTCGCTCCAATAATCTATAAATCACTAACATTCTTATTGATAGAATTCCACTAGGATAATGAAACAAGAGAGTAATTAATGAGACACTTTGTCGCTTTATTTCAGCAAATTTAGACAATACCAGTTGCAATTATAAGTGAACCTTTGATAAAGCAAATTGAGATATCATAGAATGGTGTAAACACACTGCAAATAGCACTAACGTAGAATCCGAACCCATCCTACGTATTTAATGTATTTGACTTTGAATTTTTCAATGTTGTTGTTCATCATAAAAGAGTAAACCTTGCAACTTCACTTTAAGTTGTAGACCTCCTGATAAATATTGCGACCAGCAACATCTTTTTTGCTAATACTTCAATCTCAATAATACTTGAAGTTATTCATAAGTTTAGTAGAGACCCGACGATGCACACTTAATTTTCCCAAATAACTAAAACTTAGATTTAGATGTTGGAGGATTCTGAAAAATTCAAATAAAAACTGGACTTGCAAAAGAAAAAGTAAAGGGAAGCAAGAGAAAAATAGTTACAAGAAACTATTAATAAGAATAAGACTAATAAGTATGTGGCAAAGAAAATTTAAGAAGAGGGATAGAAGTAATCTTAAGATTAGGATCAAGAACTAGAAGCTGCTTCTTTGGCGAGATAGACAAAAGAAAAACTTGTTGTTAATTTATTGAAGCAGATCTTGATGTTTGGAAATGATCTCATCAAATAAAACATGAGAAATTAGTTACTTGGTAGCTATTCAAGAGTTGAGAAATAGCTTAAAGTTAAATCAAAGTCAATAAAGTATTTACTTGATCTCTATGGGGAAGATATTCCAAAAATGCTTTAATATTTTGTTGAGAACGAATAAGAAAGCAGCACAAACACTGAAAAGATTGATTAGCAAATAGAGATCGCAAGTGTTGGATTGATTCCTACTCTTTAAAATCAACTTGTGCTTGGAACAGATAATGGGTCATCATCAAGTCCTCCAAAAAGATTGAATTAAAAATCTGCATAGCACCTTGAGAAGGTGTTGAAAGATATTGAAAAAATAAAAAATAATGTGACTTTGAAGAAAGATCAAAAGAATCTGGAGGAAGAGCTAAAGAAAGCAAGAGATGATAAGGCGAAATCAATCGCTAAAAAATAGGTAGATTAAAGAAAACACTACGAACATGGTGTAGTACCTAAATAAATAAGAAATTTTTCGATTGATAACAATAAAGAAGCAAACAAGTCATTAGACAACTAACTTCAAATTAAAATTATAAAAGCAAAGGATCTTGACGTGAGTGAAATAGCTCTTGAAGATGAACAGAGGCTAATAGTTCCTGAGATTAATAGTAAGAATGATAAGAAGAACAATCCTATTCTTAAGAAACTTAAAATGTTCTAACTCTATGATTTAAGGTTAGAAGAACAGAAGGATTAAGATGCTGTCCGATTCTTTGTTAAGAAAAATTTAAGAATCTTCAGAAACTTATTCAATAAGTATGCAAATACCACAGGTCCTGTAAATTAAGTATAATAGACTTTTGATCAATTATCACAAAAGAATTCACTTATTACAGTGGCTGAACTCCTTAAGATGCTTAAAGAATTCTAGATAAATAACCTTTAAGTATCAAAAGATGATGTTATAAATATGGTTCGACTCATTAACATGGAAATTCTCAAAAAGAAAGATAAGGGTTAAGCCTCACTTAGTGTTTTGGAATTTGAGGGTTTTGTAGAATTTATGCTATAGCTTGCCGTGCACCTATATAGCTTCAATGCTTAACTTAGTCCTTAGCAGTACTTCTAGTAACTATTTGATTATCTTAAGTTGATAGCAAATAAGAAGGGAAGTAGTAATGCTAAATTATTCGATGATCCTAATCAGATTCAAATAGGAGACTCAAAACTCATACAAGAATTAAACAAGAGGCTTTAAAAGGATCCGAACTATCAGCTTCCAGATGGTTTCACAAAAGTAGTTGAAAAGGAAGTTGTGGATCTTTATGTAATACCGCCGCAATTTCCAATAGATGAATCTCAAAGAGTAGTTATTGAAGTATTAGATGGATTCTTGAATGATGTCTTTGGATTCCATTTCTTAGAGCCAATGTCTGAAATCAAAGAGATCGCAAGAGCAAAGCCTAATCTGAGGATGCAAGCTAAAGATAAAGTGATTCATGAATTGAACTAATAATAAAATCTCAAATCTAATTATGGGCCAACACCAGTGATTCCAAGTAGAAGATCAAGATAAAATATTAGAGTTAGCAATTCAATCGATGTTAATCCTATAAAACAAGCTAAGATGAGCAAATTAGCTCTCGAAAAACTAGGAGTAAATAACTCTATCAATAAATCAACATTTAAATCTCCAAGAACTTCAGTGCCTCATATCTCTAAACCGAATCTAGGAATAGACCTTAAATTAGAAGTCGCCAAAGCCCCAGCAAGCATCAGGCAAGTAGTTTTGGAAACTGCTTATGTCATGGAAGAAATACTTTACTCAGTTGAGAATGGCTTAGATGAACTGCCACCACCTAATTTCTAATAGCAATAAAAACGTTAGATTCTCAATAGGGTTATGGAAGACAAAATTAAGAAGCAAGAGAACGATGAAAAGTAGAAGCAGCTTGATAGATAAAAGTTAGAATTAAGAAAGAAAATGTTAAAAGACTAATTGGATGTAATGAGAGTGGAAAAGGATGCAAAGACAAAAGAGGATGTTGAAAAGAAGAAGTAATAAGAGGAAAAAGAAAAGCAGAGAGCAATTAGAAAATAGCAAAAGCAGAGAGAAGACATACAAAATATGATGAAGGATTTATAACTCAAAAAAGAGGAAAAAATGAAGAAAGAAGAAGAAGATAAAAAGAAGGAAGAGGAGAAAAAAGTTAAAAAGAGTTAGAGAGAGCAGAGCAATGTTAAGCAAAATTTGAAAGATAGAAAGAAAAAGTTAGATGAGGAATTTAAAAAGATTGCTGAGGACAGAAAAGCTAGTATTTAGAGAGAAGAAGTCGACAAGGTACTTAAAAAAGAATAAGATAAGTAAAAAAGCAATCAAATCAAATAGCTCTATGCTGAGACCAAGAACAAAGCCAAAGAATTAAAGGAAAAATATCGCTAAGAATTCGATAATTATAGTAATTCTCCAGAAGTAAGAGAAGTATTCAATTTATATGAAAAAGCATTGCTCACCTAATTTGAGCAGTATTGTAAAATGGATTCAACCGATGTCACAAAGCTATCGTATAACTCATTCCTGAAACTTGGAAATAAACTATCCATTACTCCAACAATAATCACATCCTAGGACTACATTTATATCTATAAAACAATCATGAGAGCGAAGAAGGAAATATCTTTACAAACACCTAACGATTCAATCAGTGATGCTGACGGAACAAAACTAAACTACAGTGAGTTTAAGGAAGCGCTAATAAAAATTGCATGTCTTGGGAAATTCAAATTAGGAGGTCTTAGTGGTACTGAAGAGGATATGAAGGAAAAAGAGGAAAGACTTAAGGATAAATTTAAGTTGGCAGTATCGAGTGTTGGAATAGCTAAATAATTGACTAAAAATAAGATAGATTAATCTTTGAACATCAGTGTCACTAGTGATTAAAAAGAAGAGAAGGACAAAATACAAAATGCCTTGGGAGGAGGTTCAATTTTTGAGAAGGCCTTTGATGTTTCAGATATGACTGGACAGACGATTGAAAATTTACTGAAGCATATCGGAGTAAAGGAAGCTGGTTTTTCTAAGATGAATACAATGAATCGAAATAATTCAATCAGACAAAGCAAAGTCTAGAATAATTTAAAGAATCAAGTTTATGATTCAATAAATGAAAGAGAGAACTTCAATGAGTCTCAACTTGAACAACTTGAAGAGGATGTTAACTTATGATGATTTTATAATGGACTGGAATCAATTATTAATAAGTTATAGAAATCGTAACTAAATTTATTTGCATTTAATCCTTTGTTTAGATCGATCATTATTTTCAGGCTATGGGGTTTTGGGGTTTTGGGGTTTTGGGG